AAAAAAAAAAAAAAAAAAAAGAGTAAAAAACTAGAGCTGCTATTTTCTGAGGGGTGCTGTGAACCTAAAAAGGTTGAGAACCACTGCTCTATGTTCTTTGTCCTTAAGTATGACTTTGTTTGGCCATATTAAACCACATATTGCTTGATTGTACCCAAATTATCAAGTGATTCAGATTTGTTCTATATTATTGAACTCTCCCTATCATTGGTAAACATTCTCCCAGTTTTTGTCATCTGTAAACTTCATTGGTAATTTTTACTCATTGATTATAAATGTTAAATAAGGTAGGGTAAAGAACCATTGTGCCACCACTGGTGGTGCCACAAATTTACCTGGGTGCCACTTCCTTTTCTTTTTCTGCCTGATCTGCTGCTCTGCTTTCTGCTCCTTGTTCTGTTTGCCACAGAGTTCCCTGCTTTCTCCTAGACCTGTGGCATTTTACACACGAAGGCTGCCCATGCCTCTTGTGGCGCACATGCCACGGGATGGCTATACCTGGACATTGCAGCATGAAATTTATTGTGGAGAAACACCATTTATGAAATGAATGTACAACTGTGTATATGTATCATGACATCTGGTAATATATATATTACTTAATTGCCAATATTTATTTGTTTTACTTTTAAATTTAGGAAAAGCTCCAGATTCACCTCACCGGAGAAGCATTAAAAAATTATGAGAACACTTCCTAGATCTGAACTGTGAAACCCCTGGTTACTACTTCCTCCTGAAGTGCATGGTTTTGTTCACTGGTATCTCAGTGCACTAATTTTGACAGTCAGTTGTAACTGAATAAAGGCCTATGCAATGTTTTTGCATCAGATTTTTATGTGACCATTTTACTAACTTTTAGTACATTTAAACTTTTAGGGGAAGTCGCTATTCACTCAGAACAATGTTGTACATTCTTATATGGAATAATTGCTAAGTTAACAGCATATGCATGCCGGTATCATGGTATTGTGAGCCACAAAGTATCTTTTTATGTTTATTTTTCTAAAGTGTATAGGTGGATTCCGTGTAAAAAGTTATTAAAATGGCATTTTATTAGTGAACTTTTACAGTGTATTGGTGTTTGTTCCAATGCTGTGTTGTTAATTGTTCTGTTTACCTACCCTATAGCTGCTCAAGATTCTAAGCTTTAGGTGTGATCATTATTCTCAAGGAAACAGGTATGTCTTATCAGTTACAAACTCTTTAAGAATTTGAAAGTGTCTTGATATACAAAAGTCCTTCCCCAATAATCCTTCTCACCAAGTACCACCTTTTTATTGTCAGTATTCCTTCCACATAGAATTCAAATTTGCTATTTAGGAAAGTTAAGTTTCTTTCTCATCCACCCACCCTTCCAGCTTAAAAGGAGCAGAGATACATTTGCCATCCTTAAAGCAGGATGTTTATTTCTACTTTGTTCTCTTTAACTGTTGGGTGGAGGAGGTCAGCTCTTGTCTGCTAGGCCCTTTCCAAGCTATAGCAAGAGAGATTATGTGGTTCTCTGGATTTCCTGCACTGCTGTTTCATAATGTGGACGTGGAAAGAATTGGACTTATTTTTCCTCAATGTACTATACTACTTCAGTTAGGAGGGTCCAGTCCTATTTGTGAAGCCTGGCTTGTGGAGTTGAGTAACATTTGATCATTCCTCTTGTGTGACTGACTTATTGGCATAATAATGTTTGCATATGTCTACAGTTATGTATTTCAGTTAACTTTATCTATTACCTTGTGTCAGCATTATCTAGCTCTTCCCCATCTGTAAAGGTTTGAATGCTTACCAGTTGATTTTGGAACTCATTCCATTTGAGGAACATATGCATTCATCATTGTTCAGTCAGAGTTTTAAAATCCCTGTTTTGGGATATAGGTAACTTTAAAAGGAAAACTCATAATTTTTACAGCCTGTTCGAAAAGGACAGCTTCTGGATCATGAGTGCTGTGCTATCTTGAGATATTTGGACTGTTTTTCTCTTGGAAATCCTACAGGTAGTAGATTTGTCCAGAAAGACCGTATCTCCTCAGCCATTGTGCCAGATTTTGGCCTCATACACACCAGTAGTTCAGCACTTTTTTAATCCATTGCAATCCTAGGTGTTACGATAATTTGGGGGCAGCTGGGAGCAACATTTTTTTCCAGTTGTTTCCTCTACTTCCCTAAACAAGACAACCTACCAAACTACATTTCACTTTCTCAGTTGGCCCTCATCATAATGGGACAGAGCCAAAGTTGAAGGTATGCTCCATGAGCAAGACCAAATCTGGACTACAGAAAGGGACAGTTGCCCCTGATCCAGACTCATGTCTTATTTGGGGCTGGGGTACAGACTTGCTGCATACCTCCCATATCTGTTGAGCCTACTTCAGTGATGCCTAAGAGCTGGGCTCCTTTTCAGTCCTTAATACTCTGCACACTGGGCCATCTTTATGGAAACATGCTTAATAGTCAATCAAGTAGAGAGTTCTCAGTTACTCTTGGAGTACCCAAGTGTTTCGTAAATGGGATGATAATGGGGTGACTTCAAAAGCAGATATGGTGCCATGGTAGGAAATTAGCTGACTAAAGTTTAATATAAAGAAGAAACTCAAAGCCAGGATGTGGGAGAAATTACAATTACAATTAAAACAAACGGGAATTTGCCTGACAGACATTAAAATACAACTCAGGAACCAGATAGCATTTTTTTGCTTGTTCTGACTGGTCTGAGGGATGCGTTTAGCTTTATTTTGCTAATTTAAGAAACCAAATAATTTGATTTAAACTTTAATTTTACTCTAAAAAAAACATCCTAAACTGTGACTGAAATGGTCTTAAAAATCCTGGCTGCACCTTTCAATTTGAAAAAGTAGTTCACATAGTAAATATTCTGCAATGTGCCAGTCTAAATTTTTGTAAAACTGGTTTGAGAAAATATCAATAAGGCCTTCCCAGTAATAAACTTTTTTTTCTAATTGTTTGCTATTCCTGGGCACTTCTTCTCTTTCCCCCTATCCCCCCCACCTTCCGCCCTGCACATTTTCACAGCTCTACCAAATCCTTTTTTTACTATTGCTGTGTTTTGCTTTTCTCCTCAGACCTTAAGAAAAATGCCTTACATTTGAAAGCAGTTTGTCCAATAAAAGGATACTGCCTAAAGAAATCCTTGCCTCTTGTATCAGTAATAAAAACTTAGATTTTAGTTGTAGTCCTTTTGGTCTTAGACTTGTAACCAATTTTTTGAATAGCAAGTGATAGGCACATCTACCAATGTCTAGTTACTCTTTCATGTAATGAACAAGCTACAAGGCATCTGATTTTAAACTGAAAATAGTATTTCATGCAAAACATGGCCTATGGGATTGACTGTCACAAGATATGGCAAAGGCTAAGGGTTTAGCACAGGGATGGGCAATTATTTGGGCCTGCAAGCCACACAGGCAGTTCTGGGGAGTTGTTGTGGACCGGTCAGCACTCTTCCCCTCCTCACCCCAACTGCTCAGAGCCTGTATGCCCTGTGACTCCTGGCTCCTCCCCAACACCAGCACCCAGCAGCAGCTGAGCACACAGCCCTGGACTATCCTGTACCCACCCCGGACTCACCCTGGCTGAAGCAAACCAGCTCTGGACCAGCTGGGACCTCACATACGCAGCCCCCGCCCTAGGCCACACTGCGTCTGCTCTGGACTGGCCCAGCCATGATGAGTGGCAGTGGCAGTGGCTGGACAGAAGCTGCTGCTGGGTGCGAGAGAAAAGCAGCCGCCTTCCCCTTGCTGCTGCAAGGCCCTTCTTGCTGCGGCTACTCTGAGCCCATGCCCAGGCTATGCTGCAGTTCCTCTCTGCTGCCACCACTGCCCTGCTTTGGGCAGCGCAGAGGCAGCACTGGTGGCAGCAGTGGAGAGGAGCCACAGAGCAGCCTGGGCATGGCCACTTTTCCCCCACACCCAGCAGCAGCTTCTCCCCAGTTGCCACCACTATTGCTGCTGCTGCTCATTGTGGGCAGGCCAGTCCTGAGCAGGTGCGAGGCAGCTTGGGGTTGGGGCTGTGCATGTGGGTCCTGGCTGGTCCTGAGCTGGTCTGCTCCAGTCGGGGTGGGTCCACAGCAGGCCAGGGCTGTGTGCTTGGGTCCCTGCCAGTCTCCATAGGACTGGGGCCAGGGCTCATGGTGGTGGCAGCTGGAAGGAGCCACTGCTGCCTGGCTGCCTAGAATTTGAATGCAGCTATAGAGCTGTCCCAACCCTATTGCATGCCTGGGGATGACTGGATGTGCCACAGGTCAGATAGTGCATAGGCCAGGCGGGACCAAGGGATGTATCACAGGCCAGATAAAGTCCCTCTGTAGGCCTGATCTGGCCTGTAGGCCGTATTTTACCCTCCCCTGGTTTTGCATGATTCAAAAATGAATTGGACATTTTGTGTAGTGATGCTAAGCTTGTAGGTAGAAATGGCTTTATCCTGAATTGCTATTCTCAGATTCTTCCCTACCTGTAATGTTTGACTGCCTGCTAATCAGTTGGCTTTGTGAAACTCATCCTATTTGAGAAATGTTTGCATTTATCACTGTACAGTCAGCCAGGGGGCCTGATTTCCTACTTCTGATTTAAGTAACTCTTGATCTACTCCAGAACAGCAAATTCCCATGTTTCAAATTGGGGAAAAAGAAAAACATCTATATACAGTGCAGAGAAATGCCACTGGGTTCTGCCTGATGGTTGATTTACAGCAACATGTGATACATTCGTGTCCACTAGGTGGTGCTAAGACTTTGACTGGTAACTGCTGTTAGTGTATTGTGACCCATAACACCAACTGAACTTTTTTCTTGGCCAACTGATCACACTGAGTTGAGGAGGCAATGGAGTTAAGCCTTAGAATGGCCTAACTAAACCATAGGATTTCCCACTGATGTATCTTTTTAGGACCTTAAATGTCCTTGCTCCTCAGTTTGAGAGTAAAATGAACATCATCAATCCAATACAGAAGAAGAAACAGAAACAAAATGCCTTTTTTAATAGAGGATCCCAGCTGTGGTGTTGAAGTCTGCCACTGAGGTGAGGTGGCACAGTCTTTTCAACCTGAGAAAAGGTAATGGATGGAAGTGGCAATAATGACATCTACAGATATTTAACCAAGAATTACAGAATTTACCTATAAAGGTAAAAATACTCAGAACAGTTAGTAGAAAAGTGTCAAAATACAGTAAGTGATACTTAGCTAAGTTTAACTACTACACATTATCTTTAGCTGTATGAGATTATGCAGTGTTGAGTATTTCTCATGTTTAATGTTTCAAATTAAGTAAATTACTGATTCAGAACAGGCTGAGGAAGTAACTAGTTTGAAATTCTCACCATATTTTCCTCTGGCTTATAGCCTGTTGATATTAAGCTCCAACTATATTTGATTCCTCAGGAACTGGAAAGTAATGCAACTAAATAGGTACATGTGTAGAGTGTTATGCTTGAATTCATGTTGGCACATTTTTGCAGAGGTTAAAATCAGCATTTGAAAGGGTCAGTGCATCAATGCAAAAGACAAAATGGAACGTTTTGCAAACAAATAGGAATGTTGGAATCCCTCCTCTTAGCTCTGACTAGCATATTTCTTTTATCACCTTATTTTTTTCTTCTCCCTAAGCTAGAGTTCACAATTCATACAAACTGCTGAAAACTATTATGTCACATTTAAAAGTAACCACACACTGCAATTTCTATTCTATGAGCAAATTATCTGTTTGGACCCTAGAGTATGTATTATATCATTGATCCGGTAAGTTCTAAGTGATGTTGTTGCGAGTGCTAAATTAACTTGTTCTATTTTTAAGCCTCTAATTTATAGGTAGGAAATTGCCTTTTAAAGGGCAGTATGTAGTTTACATTTTTCCTTCATGGAGCAATATTCGTTCTTCAGCAGTTTGGCAGGTTCCTATGCTTCAATCATGTTGTAAATGGAAAGCAAGAAATTGCATGGCATGCTAATTTCACTAAGTCAGTGAAAATGTCTGAATCATTTTATATCCCAAAAGAATTGTTGCACTTCAGAAACTCAGTGTGATGTGCTGAAAATGATTGCAGCATTGCCTTAATGTG